TATTAAATTACATATATTTATTATTAATTTTGAGGGCAATTTAATATGCCTCTACCTCTAATAATTTTCCAGACATTAGACTAAATACATATATCTACTACCTCCAACTTCGAAAGCAATTTTCACCTCTCCACTGTGAAAAATCTTCCACGGTGCAACTTCCTATCCCGCGTATGACCAACTGGAATCCAAGCTAAACGCGACGTACACAGGAATGGTAGCTTTAATGGGCCAACAACAACAGACTGCGATATCGTTGCTCGCCATGCACGGGTGTCCTACACACCAGGAGCTAATGGGATATCTCTGACATCCGAACGAGGCTATCGACCAGAAATGTTCTCTGCAAAATACACCAGCAAATTCTCCACCATACACACACAGACACGTAGAAAGGCCTGTGTCCACGTGGTTAGATCGCGTGGAATTTCGACTCTCGTCGCGAAATAACGCATTCCATTCGTGCACGATCGCTTTGTCTCCTCGGTTAGGATGTCTGTGACGTTTCACCTGGAAGAGAGCGAACGCGTGTAGTGAAAAGCAGAGCTAACCAAAGAGAAACTCGAGACAGAAGTTCCCGTTCGTGTTTCGTGATTGTTGTTCGGCTGGGCCGATCGGGAGAAGCTCCGAATTACTCGTCGAACAACTTTCCCCCCGGTGTGCTCTAATCGCTATTTAATTAGTTGACCCCGGCGACGATAGGAATTTCCAAGCGACGCGTACTTCGATCCGTTTAAATTCTTCCTTCAACTGGGCTCGTGTCGAGCCAGTCTGTATATAGAGGTGGATAAATGAAATTCCTTCCGTCGTTCTCAATTTTTGCAACTTCTCTCTCCCGCTAATATGTACGTACGCGAGAGTGTAGTTATTTAAAACATTGTTCAGTGACGATAGAGGATAGTTGCGGAAAATTTGGGACCAGAGACATAGAATGCGAAAGTTCGAATCGATTCGCAGGAGGCCGCAAGGCATACCCACGCAGTTCGCTCGATTTAATACTCTAATCGCGTGGGCATCAACGGTGAGCAAACTTTCGGCATGTGCGCTGCAAGTGGTCTCTCGATTCCGGGGGCGAACGCGTGTCAGAACTCATAAACTTCGTCGTGGCCGAGACAGCATTCGAACTGTGCATTAGACACGTGTCTTTCCGTAAAATTACCGAGTCCGTTCCGAACTACCATCGCCGCCGCGTTTAGATCTCGTCCAAGTTCGATCGAGAGTTTTGGTACAAGTGCACTGGTATAAATTGAGGGACAAAATTTTCGCTCTGCGTAAAAATTCTAACATCGCTGGAATATTGGAAGTGAAGAGTAAACTAGGCGAGTTCGTTTTTAGATAGCTTAATGCTGACTGTTAGATCCAAATTGAAAGAACGTGCTCACTTAATCGTGGGATTTAGTTGGACTTGTGATCGAGGCTCGGAAGTGTACTTTGAATAGTTTATTAACAAAATAAGGTAGAAACCAAACGTCTGAGTTAATTATAAACCACGCTATTCTCAGGCAATCTTTCTTCCCAAGGTCTCCTCTCTTCCAAATCTTACTCTACACTGTCCTTTTCGACGGCCCTCGCGAAAAGGACCTGCTCTCTACCTGCACTTTTGTTGCCCCCGCCGTTCGTTTCTCAAGAGTATTGTATATTCAAAGTCTACAGAATATTGAAAGCAAAGAGTAAAATTGGCAGAAATTCGTTAAAATCGGTGAATTTGAAGCGTTCGAAGCGCCGCTGGAATATTGAAAGTCAAGAATAAACGAAATGGCTAGGTTTTCGATAAAACAGCAGGTCCAGCTCTGTTCGACGACGTCGACGGTGCAAGGTTTATCGGCCCTGACACGTGTTACGACGGCGTATCCCCCGCGCGGCCGACGGCTGGCACGATGACGTCGAAGGGGTGTGAACGAGACAAAATCCGGACACACGAGGGGCCGCCACGCTACCGTCCCCAACGTCGATCGAAACTCCTTTGATCAGGTAGCGGTAAACATTCGCCCAGGTCACGGATGAAAGCTCGGCCCTGTTTCGAGCCCCCGGTCTGGCCACGAAATCACAGACCCCTCTGTTCTATCGCACATGCCTCTTTATGACACTTTTCCCCGGGCTAAATATAGGACACGGTGTGCTGCACACGCCAGCACGAAAAATCGCTAAATCGTTTGTGCCAGCGTACCGCGAGGCCGAGCAATGATTGACAATTACACGAAACCAGAGGAAATAAGCTCTCTCTCTCTCTCGCTATTTTCCAGGAAACGTACTCTCTTTCGTACTAGAAAGTATACCACGCGTACACAAACACCGTACACAGTCTTTGCTATATTTTCTTGACACGTACCTAGATTAACTTTCCTTCCTCCTTTCGTCAAAATTTCCGTAGATCCTCTCCAAGCGTCGACTTGGTTTTACGAGGCTCCGATTGTCGCACGACAGACGCAACTTTACGTGCTCACGAATGTCTATTCTTCTGTTCCAGGTCCACGGTGCTGTTCCGATGTCTCGTTAAAGCTGTCCAAGCCAGGTGAGAAATCTCGCGAAAGACGGACTACTCGCGAGGTAGAAACGGATAGATAAGAGAAAAACTCGCTCAAGTTTCACCGAATCGATGTCATAAAAAACCCTCGGTCTAACATTCTGACAGAGCGATCCGTAGTTGGACAAAAGAAGAAAATGAGAGGGCAGACGGGAATACGGAGGAAGAAACGCGGCGTGGAAGGATCGACGGATCACCTCTGATAGAGCGTGAGAAGAGAGGCGATTGAGAGTGCGCTGGGTGAGGGTTGAGCTGCTGGTGGCGCGACGAAAAATGAACAGGCAATCGTACCGAGCAACCAGCTCAACAGAAGCTTCTACAGCGCGAGTTATCCACCCCAGAACCGTACCTACGAGGACATTTGGAACCTGGCCACCGACAGAGCTGGTCTGGCTATATTGCTCTTCGTGTTCTCCGTAGCCACGGTATTCGGTAACATGCTGGTAATCCTGGCTGTGGTTAGAGAGAGGTACCTTCACACGGCCACTAATTACTTCGTCACGTCGCTGGCGTTCGCGGATTGTCTGGTAGGGTTAGTGGTGATGCCTTTCAGCGCAATCTACGAGGTCCTGGAGAATCGTTGGCTCTTCACCACCGACTGGTGCGACGTATGGCGATCCTTGGACGTCCTGTTCTCCACAGCTTCCATTCTCAATCTCTGCGTCATCAGTCTGGACCGATACTGGGCAATTACCGATCCTTTCACCTATCCCAGCAAGATGAGTAGAAAGAGGGCCACGATTTTGATAGCAACCGTGTGGATCTGTTCGAGCGCGATCTCCTTCCCGGCGATTGCCTGGTGGAGAGCTGTTCGAACGGAAGAGGTACCAGAGGACAAGTGTCCGTTCACGGAACACCTTGGCTATCTGATCTTCTCCTCGACCATCAGCTTCTATCTACCGCTGTTCGTCATGGTCTTCACTTACTACAAGATCTACAGAGCGGCCGTCATTCAAACCAAGAGCCTGAAGCTAGGTACTAAACAGGTGATCGTGGATTCTGGGGAAGCCGAGCTCACTCTCAGGATACATCGAGGAGGCGGAACGAACACCGACGCCAGGCACCTGTTCCGAACCGCCTCGAGCACGCCCGAAGATCTCCAGGATCTCGAGGAGCCTCTGACAGCTATTCACAATAATTGTCTAACCAGAGTGCCGTCCACGAGAATCAATAAACAGCATCTGGGCAAGAATTTCTCGCTGTCGAGGAAACTGGCGAAATTCGCCAAGGAGAAGAAAGCGGCGAAGACGTTGGGTATCGTGATGGGAGTGTTCATCATCTGTTGGCTACCGTTCTTCGTGGTGAACCTCTGGTCGGGTTTCTGCTCGCAGTGCATATGGCAGGAGAAGATCGTGTTCGCGGTGGTAACGTGGCTGGGATGGATCAACAGCGGGATGAATCCGGTGATTTACGCCTGCTGGAGCAGGGACTTTCGAAGGTGAGTCAGAGATTCTCTCATTTTCGAGACACGCGTTAGCCGATTCAATTGTACTTCGATACCACCGAAGACGTTAACAACGTTCTAAGTATAGCAGAGATTCGGTGAAATAATTAACGGGACCGTGGAAATGTGTTTCGTCGTGGGAAAGCAGCTTGTTCCACGTGAGTTTATTCATAGATACAACGTCAGACCTGAATCCTGAACTAAACGGGAAAGTGGTTGTGCCTGACCTCTCTCTCGAGCAGCAATTATACGTTCCAAGTTACGATTTCGGCAAACAGAGTTAAGGTCCTTAGATACATGTAGATGTCTTTAAATGATTAAAGTGGTTTAATTAGGCCTACGTAATTATACTTGCACGCTGGTATTTTTTAAGTTAGAAGTTCAGTCTTCTCTTAGTTTACTCTTCGAAAGAGCATATTTCTCGATGGACGCGACAATTTTGGGGGAAATAAGTGGCTCAGTTGCAAGCTAGAATGCAGCAATTGCCCGGTGGCTAGTAATCGTCGTGACGTAGTAACCGGCAGGCCTCAAGGGTCTCATTAAACCGCTATCCGGCGAAACAGAGTAATCTTAGACCACCGTGAGCCTCTACATCGCCGATCAATTTCCCTGGGAACAAATACAGGGCGGAAAGTTTCGGGTCAACGACGAGATTGTTTCGGCAAATTATTCAAAGCAATCTCTTTCGATTCGACCGCATACGCTAAAATCCTCTCTATCTATCCATCTATCTATCTACCTTCGGTGCCAAGTCCTTTTCCAACCGATTGAACGACGAATATTTTTCCATTTCCTTAAAATCTACTACACAGGTACACGCGATCGAACACAACAGTCTTCGTTTTGTTTCGAAACGCATTCAAGCTGTAGAGTACAGTGACGAATCACCCCGATGTAACTTCCGGTATGCTTTCCATTCGCGAAACGCGAATGGATGCACTGAATAATTGGCGACAAAGTTTCCAGAGAAAGCGGAAGGTATGCAAATAACGCGATTTAATTACGCGTTGCCACGGAACGCGCGCGTTCAGACGAAGCCCATACGTGGGCGGGAGGGAAAATGGAACGCGAAAACTCTGACAAGAATGAATCGCGCGGACACAAAAGAATCCTACCGTAGGTCTATGAGCGTTCGTGTTGTCCATTTAATTAAATCCCGCTTAACGGGTCTCGCGTGTCGTTAGAGGGTAGTTCATTCGTCGATTAAATACGCGCACTTACAAATTACCAATTTGTCTGACAGCTAATTCCAAGTGTGTCAATTTGTTTCCAACAGGATTCTGTTCGCGAATTTATCGACTCGCAATTAATAGTACAGGGATCGATAGCAATTCACTTGGATCACTTCCAGATTGGCGTGAAGAAATAAACGTGCATACACTACCGCTCAAAAGTATCCGGACACTTGATAGTCGACTTTCGAATTTTCTTCCTTAAAGCAATTTCTCGAATTGATACTAGCACGTTTCTCTAACGATAATTCTCGTTTCGAATTCATAACTGAACATAGGAAGAGCAACAGACGAACTAAAGCAAAGCGGGTGACTGCATAGAGTTAGCTCCATTCTTATCCCTATCAACACTTAACCCCTCAGCGACCGATGTCGCCGAGTGAAAACTGTCTTTTGCGGGGACCCTAACAGAAGTATCGGGCAATTGCCCTGTATATCTTTAAAACTATAGTAGATATAAAAAAATGTTTATAATAAAAATTTAATAGCTTTTTATGCCTTATAAGACTGTGCTATTAAATTAATAAACATTCTTTCTTTAACTAAAAAATCTTCCACTAAGCTTTGTGAAAAATTTTCAATTTTCTGTCATATCGAGAAATATGTCAAATAAATGCAGATAAAGATGTTAATCTTTCGACTCTAGCTAACATTGTGTATATATTATACGCATATATCCTTCAGTGAGTGACAAACAGTTCCCACTACGATATCGCAGTTTAAACTGATCAACTGCAGACGCGACCTACTACATGGGTCTGTATCTGATATGGACCCGGGTGACGTGTGAAAAACACAGGGTCCGTATGAGATACGGAGGTGGTCGCCGAGGGGTTAATAGGTATCGGAGAACTCTCTGAAATTGATCTGCACCATAGAAATGAAATAACCTAAATCTTCAGAAAGTTCCATTAGGTTTCATTTTTATAAGACAGGAATTATATTATTGCATTTTTATTATGTAATTTGTACATAAAAATAAATTGTAGTGCACTACGATACTTTAGTGTACATATTAATAATTACAAAAGATCAACTGAGTGTAAATACTTTTTCTACTAAACTTAAACTACATTTTGCAGAGAATAAGGAAGTGTTCGGATACTTTTGAACGGTAGCTCAACTATGTTTCCATAGAAAAACTCGAAATTAACCCTTTCGCTGTTGAGCCCGTGAAAAGATACACGGTACTGCTGTTCAGATTGCGACGTGGGACTACGTATTCCCTATAAAATATACCGGATGACTGGAAAAATTCGTACCGGAAAAATTCGATTGGAAAAGAAACATTTATGCCGAAATGCAACGAGGTTCTCGCCACCTCGGAAAATCGGGCACGAACTTTTGCAATCGTCCAATACCACACAAGGAGTACGTATTAATCGGTAACTAAATAATTATACGAAAAATCCACGTGTAAGAAATGCGAGATTTCGGCGGCGAAGTGGTGGCCTGAACTTTGTCACCCAGGAAAAGAAAGCGCGCGGGTACCTGAGGGTCCCATAAACTAAGCCCTTTCCCCGGAAAGTCGAACGAGGGGGCTCCAACGCGGGGTACGACGCGGAGAGGACACTCTGGAAATAGCCATCGAGCGAGACGGACACCGAAGCACTTAGCAGTCGCTTATCACCATACTTTAATACGTTTTTGGTTAATACCCTATCCTGTGTTAAATTTACTTAAGTTGTGCTGACACACACGTGACCAGTACTTTTTTTGGGGGGGAAATTTTGTGGAATATTCTGAAACGTTTTCAAACAAGAAAAACAACAGCGAGAGGATTAAAAGGGTTAACAAGTAAGCTTGTCATCCCCTGTTGAACAAGTTAAAGCGAAACGGTCGGTGAACGAAACGCTCGAGTATCGCGAGATCGATCCATGGTCCGTGGTCCATCAATCTCCTTCCGGTTCGGAAACGAGACACCCTCGAACTGATTTTTCAAAAAGTCGTTCCGCCTCCCCCGCCCTACACGCCGAAAGTAAGTGGCCCAGTCTGGACGGAAACTGGCCTGGGCTGGGCTGCTGGTGTAATATGGCCGGTGAAAAATGACGACAACGTTCAGCGATAAATAACGACGATACCTGCCGCGACGGGAAAAACGGACGGGTGTAAGTGAAACAGAGGACGGAATGAAAGGGGAGAAAGGGTGGCGAAGAGTGGCCCGGCAAGAACATTAACTCGATGGACCGTACGGGATGTATTTGTCTCAATCTTCCCTTGCTTGCTACTCTCTCTTTCTCTTTCTCTCTGAGGGATCATTTTCGAGAGAAAGAAGCTGTTCTTTTTCGTAGGAACAGTTTTCTTGATTTTAGGGTGGTTTGGGGGTGACAGAGTTGAAATTGAAAGTATCGGAATGGTAGAAACGATTGGTTTGTATTTTTTGATCGTAGGTATCGTTTCTGTGATAAAAGTGAAATGTAAAAAGCGAAAAATCGGCCAGGATTCGTCGTTATTTGGTTTATTAGTGGAATTATTATTATTATGACGAACACAGGTTGTTTTGCTTTATACGGGATGTATTTGTCTCAATCTTGCCTCGCTACTCTCTTTCTCTGAGTGTTGCGACCTGATTAGGACGCAACGAAGTCTCGGTTCGCCGGATTATAGTAATAAACAACTTAGTCACATTAGGCAATCACTTAGGCAATATACCCCCCGTGGACGCACCAACGCGACACTCAGACAATAGGTTCCAAAAACACTCGGGAACAACTTGTTTACAACAAATTCGGTCCCCCAAAACGTCACAGTTTTCGTCGACCAATAGTAGAACACACCACGTTTTCCACCTCCATAACACAACCGCCAATCAGAACCAACCTAATATATACACCTGCACACCTGAAAACCGTCAATCACTGTCAGACGAGTGCACGAGACGCATCGTCACGAAACGAACAATCCAAATTCAACTAAACATCTAAAACACATCTACAACATCTAACCCAACAACGAAGTTTTAATACACCTCGAACCAGCGAGAACAATCATCAACCTGCACCAGAACTCCTGATTATAAGACTTGATCAAGGTCCACGACGCAACACTGAGGAATAATTTTCGAGAAAAAGAAGCTACTCTTTTCGCAAGAATGGCTTTTTCGATTTTAGCGTAGTTTGGAGGTGTTAGAATTGAAATTGAACTCTCTTTCTCTTTCTCTCTGATAATTTTGGAGGAAAACAAGCTGTTCTTTTTTTAGTAGGAACGGTTTTCTTGATTTCGAGGTATTAGAATTGAAATTGAAAGTATAAAAATAATAGAAACGACTGATTTCTATTTTTTAATTGCAGATATCGTTTCTGTGATAAAAGTAAAAGTGTAAAAAGCGAAAAATCAGCGAGAATTCACCGTGGTTCGGTTTATCAGCGGAGTTATTATTATTACGACGAAAACAGGTTGTTTTGTCTAGCTCATTCGGGTTTACGAGTTCTCCTATTATACGTGAACGGGGTCAGAGTGTTATTCGCGTGGTCTGCATGCACCCTGTGTTCTTTCGAGTGTGTTCCCGGCGCATAACGCGGCAATTTAACCCGCCACCGTTCGACTGTGTGCTCATCGACTGGTTTCCACCAATTTGTCCACCGTATCCCGACTTTTTGTCCGCGTGGACAACATCGAGCTTTACGGCTGCTGATTAACCTAACCAAGAAGGGGGACGGAACTTTCTTCGGTCAATATTTAACCTTTTTCAACTCGCGAAAGCTGCACAGCTTATGAAACACAAGGGACCAACTGTCTACGGTGTAAGAAAGCGCCTGTGAG